TAAAGACCCTCATTTCTATTTGAGTTTGACACCATTGCTCTAACTCTTTATTGGGAAAGAATGTTTCAGCATGCCTGTAGATTTGCCCAAAGCTATTAAAAATCTCACTTCTAAATTTACCTAGAATATTTTTTAAATTAGTTTAAAACATGAAGATGTGCTCCCTAAATGTGTAATTTGGAATTTTTTAAATTAAATTTTATTTTTTCATGAACAGATATCTTCCTCACATCTCCCCACTCTATTGAAAACAAAAAAAAAGAAAATCAAATCCCTGATATAAATATACATAGTGAAGTAAAACAAATTCCCTTATTGACCATGCCCAGGGTCCATCAGCACTCTCTTGGGCAATGGATAGCATGTTTCTTCATTAATCCTCTGGAATCATGGGTGGTCATTGCATTGATCTTAGTTCTTATAGCCTTTAAAGCTGTTTTTTGTAGTGTTCAAAATTGTTCATTTCTATAATATTTGTGTTATAGAATAAATTGTTCTGGCTCTGCTCATTTTATTCTGCATCAGTTCATATGAGTCTTTCCATGTCTCTTTGAAATTATCTATTTCCTTACTCCTTACAGAATTTCCCCATGCCTATGACTTTGTAACATATGAATAATTATACCTCATGTTACCTCCTTTCTTTAAGTCCCAACTGAAATCCTACCTCCTATAGGAAGCCTTTGCCAACCCCTCTTAATTCCAGTGACTTTCCTCTGTTAATTATTTCCTATTTATCCTGTATATAGCTCACTTTGCATATATTTGTTTGCATGTTGTCTCCCCCATTAGATTGTAAGCTCCATGAGGGTAGGGACTATCTTTTGCCTCTTTTTGTATCTCCAGTTTTTAGCACAGTACCTGGCACATAGTGAGCACTTAATAAATTTTAATTGAATTGAATTGAATTGACATTAGTTGAGAGATCAATACTAATAAGCCATTATCCAAAATTTAACTGTTAAGGAGTCTCCTTATCTTTAGGTGGCATCAAGAATATCTTTTTAAGGATTATATCATTTGTAATTGACTTTGTAAATGAAAATGTTCACATCCAAAGGGTAAGGAGAGTTATTTCTTGTGTTTTGAATGACACCACATATCACCTAGCCCATCAAGTTGTCAGACCTTGTTTGTCAATATTAACCATAATATATGTACATAAAAACATACATGCTTATGGAGTCAGTGACATTATCTCATGGAATGATAGCTTACCTTTTTTCTTCTTGTACACTCTTGGTATTAAAAAAAAAGTAACACACTTTTCAGCTTTGGACTAGCAAACAGTTGGTTCTGTAAGTTAACAGTAGATTTCATGGGTCATAAACAAGGTAGATAAATTTAAAAAATGTTATAACTGGCATGATAAACAGTTATCAAGGAATAGCAATGTTAGAAAATTCCCATCCAAAACTGTTAGTGTAGTAGGTTTCCCTTTGGCCAATCTGAGTGCTTTGTTCTAGTTTCAGGATTTGTCCTGGAGTGGTAGATGTTGTTAAACTCTTGTTGTCAAAGATCTGATCAACTGATACTGGACTTTGTGAATTTGACTCTGGAAGGACCTCTCATCCAATGATGCCCTGCTGGCTAAGAGGACATAAAGCTTAGCCATATGTCTTCAGATTTCCTTTCCAATGCTGAAGAAAGCATTTGAATTCACCAGTCTCTTCTATTTCTGTATTTCATCTTCACTAGGATTATTTATTTATCTTTCTTTTTAATCCACTTGTCTACTTTGATCGACACACACTAACCCAAAATGATATGCCAGTTCAGATACTGTTTCGTGTTAAAATATCTAATACATAAGAAGGAATGTTATATACTATGCCTTTCTAGTTCAGATCATGAAACTATGGATTAGATAAATACATTGCCATTAATGAGCCCTGATTTGTGTTTCTTTGATATAAGCTTCAAGCTTATCACACCTCCCACGTATTTTGCTGACTTTTTGAAAGATACTAAACCAATCACCATCTATTCATTACCTATTTATCCTCCCCTCCTGGATTTATTTAAATCATTGAAATAACTGAGAGAAATTTGATTGAGAATAATTCAAAATGGAGGCCATTCCCATGGCATAAAGCAGCAGTATCTCAGGGTTGTCAGCAAATTTTCTACTATGAAGAGGACTCTGGTACCCTTGAAAAATGTGTAGGTTGTCCACTAGCAATAATGGGAGGCTCTGAACCTGGGAAACTTACACTGAGGAGATGAGATCCCTCAGTATCTATTATTGTTTTAATGTTAAATCCAATGTATACGGGCTATAAAGGCTTTAAGAATGTACTGGGGATTAAAATCTGCTCTCCACAGAGCTAAGTGAAAATATAGAGGTATTTACCTTCAGAAAAACTGAGTTTTTTTCTCTTTTGAAAGATGATTCTCTGGTCATAGATAGAGGGATGGATGGATAGATAGATAGATGGATATCCATCTATCTATCTATATGTTCTCATGGTCTACAGTGACACAAGGGATCATTGGTTACAAGTTCCAATCCTTTTGCTTTGAGCTTGCAGTGACCATGTGCAACTCACTTATCTTTGCCAGGCTGTGGCTTCTCTTCTCTGCTTGTGAAATGGGCATCTTAATATAAGCCCAAGTACTTCCCCTTTGTGACATGAACTTTATAAGTTTCTGAATTCCACAGTAGAGACATATCTATTAATTCTTTTATAACCAGGGAAAGTACTGCTTTCAGAATCAGAGGACAAGGTATCCAATTCTGATCCTGATGCTTACTCCCTGTCTGACCTGGAGTTAATCATTTCCCCTCCCTAAGACTCAATGTCCTCTTCTCTAAAATGAGAGTGTTCAACTAGAACATGGCCTCTTAGATCCCCTTTCACTCTACAGTTGCCCTATGAAAATGACTATTCTGTAAGAAGAAAAAGGAAGAAGGAAAGAGGAGAAGCATTTATTAATTACCTACTATGTGCCAGACCCTATGCTAAGTGCTTTACAAATATTACCTCATGTGAGGAAGAAAGGCTTTTGAACCCAGAGAATTTGCTTTTCATTTATGATGATCAAGGGATGATTAAAGCTAAGTTAATGTACATGGATCTGAAGCTTATATTGGTAGACAAAAAGCCCAAACAAGGACAAATAATTGCAATTAGGTGTGTTGACCCAGGATTTGTTAACAAAAGCCAGACTACATTAGTCTTCACAATGATTGGCTATAACGATTAGCAGTAGGAAGACTAGAACAGAGGTTATAGTGGTTAGTAGGGAAGAGAAGTGACTGGCAAGAAATGGGGGGGGAGTGGATTTCTTCCCTTTCCCTTCTCTTTGGTCCTTCCTCCCAACTACTCTATTATATTCAAAGTTTCCATATCCTATAGAAAAATATTCTGTATCCTATATCCTAAAAACTAAAACTATCCTATAGAAAAGATGCTGTATCCTTGAATACAGAAAATCTATCCCTTTGACCCAAATGGGTCAATCTGAGCCAAAGGCTACTTTTCTTTAGGAATCCTGACTCTGAGTGAAGAGGATACAATTAGACAATTGTCATTGTATTTATTACATACATGACAATTTGGCTTATGAGGTATTTGTCTTTTGATTAACCAAGGACAGGTGTTTGTCCAAGGAGAATTTTTGCTCAATGAGGGAAATGTGTACATTTCTGATTTCTAGTAAATTACAGTATTTTCTTCAATATTCTAATGGATCTCTCTTCTTAGGTCCTACAGTTTTAAAGGGAAAAAAGTTGTTTTGTCCTTCCTCCTCCTCCTCCTCCTCATTCTTTTCCCTACTCCCTCAATATCATAGAAGTGTATGTGACATCTTTGAACCAGCATTGGATTTAATACCCAGATCCCTTTTTTCTCAAAGAATAGTATCAGAGCTGAGGCTTTGCTGTTGGTCAATATTTTCTTCAGGGATTTCTTCAGGGATCATCATAAATATTGATGAAAGAGGGTTGAGTTTTATGTCCCTTTAGGTAAAAGGTGATGATAAGTCTAGAGATCCTCCCAGAACAAATGTACAAAGTCAGTCATCTATATGGTCCCAAACTGCCTTGCATGACCAGCAGAGAGCTCCAACTTTCTGGCCCAGACATACTTTACAAAATCCAGATGCCACAGCAAAGACCTCAAATTGAGCTGTTTGGCAACCCTACTGTACTCAGACCTTTCTGTGGCAGTTGGTCAATGCATTGTTTCTGGTTAATTGGCCATTATAGCAGACATTGTAGTTGCCCAGAAAGTGCTTTTTGGGTGAGTGTTAGAAAGTGTCAGAAGAGTAAACCTAGAAAAGCACATTATATGTGCTCCTTTTTCTTTTCCCTTAAAGGTACAATGTCATAATATTCCGGCCCAGTATTTCCATTTCCTGTCTCTGAAAAAGCCCCTGACGATCCATCTCAATAGAGGGCAGATGCCCCCAAAAGGCCAAAGACAGATGATAAAAATTAATAGCAGCACTCTTCATGCTGGCAAAGAACTGGAAACAAAGTGGCTGCCCACTGATTTGGGTTATGGCTGAATAAACTGTGACATATAAGTACAATAGAATATTATTGTGCAATAAGAAATAATGGATATAAGGAATCCAAAGAAACACATAGAAGATTTGAATGAACTGATAAAAACCCCAGTAAATGCAATACCTATAATGACATAGATGAACAGAATACCAAAAGGAGGCTAAGCTATGGTAATTGAAAAAGGGGATGGTCGCAGAGAGCAGATATAAAACATCCCTTCTTCTTATGATAGAGAGTCTAAGTTCTACCAGGATAGATTGCCATATACATTATTTAAAGTGTTCACTATGTCAAGTGTTTTTGTTCAACTAGTTTTCATTTGTTACAAGAGGTGGTTCAGCTTTGAGGAGGATCAGGAATATTTCCAGAAACGACTATGATCTAAAAACTAAAGGCATCAATAAAAAATTGTTAATGAATCTCTGGGAAATTTGAGTTCGAGGTAAAAGGACTGATGTGTGTATTTTTGTTCCTTGTGCATTCCTAGGTAAGTGTGAAATTGGCTGGGCTTACTACTGCACTGGTGGGGGAGCAGCCACGGCCATGTTGCTCTGCACTTGGCTTGCCTGCTTCTCTGGCAAGAAACAAAAGCAGTACCCATACTGATGGTGCCAAGGATGGTGCAAGGAGACCCAGGTGGGAAGGAATGTGCTCAAACAGACTGAAGAATCAAGCACCAAGCAAAATGAAAAGATGGATTTATGGCTTTTATCTAACACAATTCTTATAACATGAGATAGAATGTTCTTGAGGACATCATCTGACACAGGGTGGGGTGGGGAGATGGGAGGGAGGAGGGGGATTTATAAGAGGAATGGGTGATATGTAAGGGGGGAACATAAATGATGGACCAAAGTCTAAAGATATTATAGGGAATAAGATGCTCCCCTCACCCCCAAGTATTACTGGTCTGCTTTATAAGAATGCAGCTGTACATGCAGGAAATTCTCTTTAGTTGTAACATTTAAAACTAAGCAAGACAGTATATTAAATGACCAGTGGAAACAGTATTGTGTTGGAAGGCAGGGTAATCTTCAAAAATTCCCTTTAGGCTTGGCACTCCTGAAAGCACACACACACACACACACACACACACACACACACACACACACTCACACTCACACTCACGCACACACATCTAAACAAATATGCATACACCTGCACACATGCACACACATGCACAAAACATGGCACAAATTAAAATGGAGATTTAGACAATGCATTACTTCATCTTTCTTTTTTATCATTTAAAGTTCAGTATTATCTCATTATAAATCATACATTAATCCTAATAAATGGACCAATAAGCCACTTTATCAGTATTTTGTATATCCTACATAAACTCCCTCAACATGTAATCACTGTTTATTCAGATTTTTAAAATTAAGCTTCTGTAAGTTCAGCATTCTACTAAGAATGCCATATTTTACACTATATATGCAGCTCCTGCTGCTGGAACTCATGACAAAAGGACAGTTCACTGTCCAGTGGAAGGATGAATTCACTTTCTGATAGATAAGTATAAGGGGAAAAACATTTGCTTTTGTTTCATGATTGTCATATTGTGTTGTATCCTCATTTGTTTCAATATTCATTTTTGTAAAAAAAAAGTGCTATTTTATGTTTGTATTTTAAAAACTCTGTGAATAAATTTCTCTTTGATCAATATTTAAATGGGTTGTAGAGTGGTAATTCGATGAGCTGATTTGCTTCTTTTATCCCCCAAATATGGCCTTTCAAATGAATAATCCCTCTGAAATCTGTCTTCCTTTGAATGGCCTCTGGGTCTTACACTAACATTCACATCCTTTTATACTGATGACCCTGAGTTATAGCTGCCTACCCAGTACAATTATCTGCTCCCCAGGTCTCAGCAAAATTTGCTCAAATCAAGATGAGAGAACAATTCTTCCCTTGTGTTGAATTCCTGGGCCCAGAGAACACCTTTAAGTTGCAAAGAGGGGCATAAGCTGTGTGCTACAGTTCTTCATCAAAAGGAAGCTGTGAAAAAAAAAGGAATCTGTGGAGGGGAGTGAGGTATATTGTCCTTGGACAATGTGTGTGTGTGGTGTGGTGTGGGGGTGTGCATGACTACCCAAGCCTCAAGTACTCCTGACTGTCTTCTGATTTCTGAAATTGCTGGTTTCTGTCCTTCTGTCCCAGATTTCCTGCTGCTTTTTCTGATTTCATTTCAGATGCTCTATCATCTCAGCCTGGATCTTACTTTCATCTTCATTCTTGCCTGATCCCTTGGCATGGAATTTCCCATTTTACCCCAGGTTTGTACCTCGCCATTTACCAAAGTTCAGGGTTCTTATCTGACTTGGTTTTCCTTGATTGGAAGTTAATCCCTCATTTCCAGATTGTGTGGCATAGGGAATTATCACTTGTCTTTCTGTGAACATTTGGAAACACTAAAATATATTTGGGGAATAAATAATATATGTATCAATTCAATAAATATTCATTGAATGCTTGCTAGGTGATGGGGAGAGCACAAAGATGAATGGCTTTTATCCTATAAGTTTCATGGAGGTTCACAAAGGCGTTGGTAGTGTACTGGTAATTGGTAGTGTCAAAAGACATCAAAAGACATTAAAAAAAAGGAGGACAGATCACTGAGAGGTTTGTGAGCAAGCCTGATGCTCTATCAATAACAAGGCAGCGAATGAATAAAGGCAGTAACTGTAAGAGTTTCTACAGCCAATGGAGGTTTGGGGCAAGTGGACCAGTTGCCACATGACTATGTTTAAAATTCACAACTTTCCTAGGGAATCTTTCAGTGTGACAAATTGAATCCACATCATTTATTAAGTTTGCCCTCCTCGTCCGTCTTTTGACAATGAACTGTAGCCAAAAATCCAGACTTTACTTGTGAAATGTTGTGAATGAACTTAACCCACCTCTCACTTCTTGCTCCTTCCACATCTTTGACCTTTCCACTTGGTTTAACTGATGGCAAAAAAAAAATCCAGTTTGACCAAAGTGTAGGCTACACATCTGAGAGTAGAGAGAAAGAGAACTGGAAAAATAAGTTGCACTCAAATCATGGAGAGCTCTAAGATAAGGACTTTATGCTTTGGGAAGATTCACCAGTGCAAAAAATGGATTGAAGAAGGGAAAGCCATGGGAAAGCAGGGACTAGTTTTGAGACTATTGCAAAGTTAAAATAATGAAGACTTGAACAGACTGAAAAGGAGAAGGCACATAATAGAGATATTGTGGAGGTGGAATTGACAGGACTTGGTGACTGAGTGATTGGTTATGATGGCCTTCAAGAGATATGTATAGGACCCCTGGGTCCAAATTAAGCCATTAGGAGAGTTTCAGCCAAACCCTAGGCCCTGAGGCATCAGTTACTGACTCAGGTTGACAACTATATAATCACATTTTGGCCAGGTGACAGGTCTCCCAATACTCTGCATCTCTGCGATGACACCAAGCTGAGAGTGGTAACTAACACACTGAATTGACAGAGGCCAGATTGAAGGGAGTTGTGATCAAAAAGACTGCAGCAAGCTAGGTCATCGTCAGAATGAACCAAAGAAGATGAAATTTTAGTGATTAATCAATCTAACTTAGCATTCCTTCTTATATGTACCCATGCCTTTTAAAACAAAATATTGTTTCTATGCTCTAAACCTGTTATTCATAGCCTAAATGGACTTTCAAAATGTAATTGCAATTTACATTGCAAATAAAAATCTTATGCTAGGCTTTGGAAGATCAACTTTGCAAGTATAAGATGAGGGTGGTACAACTAGAAAACAATTTCTTGAGAAGATCTGGGGTTTGGGGCAGACTGTAAGCTCAAAATGAGTTTTTGTACCTCTGGGCAGAGCGGCAAGGAAACCTTTCACTGAAATCTTTATTTCTTGCTCTTCCCATCACCAATCATACATACATGAAGAAGGTTCACTTAACCATCTTCCTCTGACACTCTTGGCCAGACCTTATCAAGTGTATGAATAAAGAGGAATATTTTTAATGTTTTCCTGAGCTGGCTGGGACTGAATTCTCTTAACAGCCATTATTGCCTAATGAAATCAAAGTATTAATGAAACAAGGAAATTGAGTTTATACTATCAAATTTGAAGCCTACTAGTTGGAAAAATGGAAACACCAAAAGTCTAATTCCAAAGAGTTTTAAAACAAATTGCCTTTTCCATGTGGGCATGTCTAATTTTGTCCATGTCTGTGCAAAAGTGTTTTCTATATGTCATATACATAATTCTAAATGGAGATGGAAAAGCTGACTATCTGAGTGATTAACTCTTGTTTTGGACACCTTTAATAATCTCAGACTAAGGACACATGCTGATCTCTAAGAACAATATGAGAATCTGGCCAATAAAATTCTGGACTTTATAAGGCTCGGTTGCTATGGAAAGAGTCAGGCAGCTTCTTACTGCTTAATTCATATCATGCTGAATTGCATTTGATTGCGCCTCATTGTCTGCTGAGCGGGGGCTTCTTCACTCTGCTCTACCCTGTGGTGAGGAGAAGATTGTACTTTACTTCCCAGATTAGCCAGCGTTTTCCTATCTCATGGATTTTTTCTTTCTTTCTTTCTTATTTTTTTTAAACTTGAACTCTCCTCTCAGAAAGGTAGTATGAATACTTATGCCCTATAAACATAGATGGCTCTTTTCACAGAATTCACAAAGATTAAATTCCTTGGGCTTCTTGAAGGTAAATACATAGTCATGAGTATGTTATCTTTGTGGTTTCAGAGCAGTAGTCAATCTCCCAGGGATGAAAGAAAAGCAGTGTACTGACTGGTACATAGCCATCAATGAAGTTTCATTATAATTCCTTAGTCCCTGCAAATTCTGTCTAGGTGAATTAAATCATGGTACCTTAGAGCAGTGGTGCTAAACTCAAGTAGAAATAGGGACCACTAAACCATACATAAGGATCCCTGTGAGCCCATATTGACTTAGAAAACCACATGTGTACATTATCTATGTTCTATTGTATTTTTATTTATTTTATTAAGTATTTCACAATTAAATTTTAATCCAGTTCAATAGGCACTTGGCAGTACTGCTAGCTGCATGTGGCCATTGGCCGCATGTTTGATGTCTTTGCCCTCGTTAACCACAGTATATATTTTAGTCCAAGATATCTTAGAATTTTGGGAAGAATAGCTAAATTACAATTGTGTAAAATTCACATAAGGCAACGGCTTGATAAATTTTTAGAGAAGGAGAAACAAAACCATGTCATAATGGATATTTATAGGCAGGTACAGAAGTACAGTCAGTAGATAAAAACCTAAACTGGTTAGCCATGAAAGCATTCACTTCCTCAGCATAGCACTAAGATGAGTGGGAAATAGTTTCCTTGTTTGCAAGAAGAGAAAATGAAGCATGGAAAATTTAAGTGGCATAATCATGTGATATAGGTCCCAGTTCCTAAGAGAAAGAAGCTTTTTTTTAAAAAGACAGGAATCTTAGTTTACCCTCAGATAATCAATTTTCAGAGATGCCAGGGTCTGACCCATCACTGGGGACAATGACCACTTACCAGAATGACCACATGCTTTGTTTATTAATACAAATCTTTATTGTCTCTCCCTTCACTGTCCTCCAATTGAACAATAAAATAAAATCAAGAAAAAGGAAGCTTACATAACAAATACGCATAGTCCAGCAAAACAAATTCCTCCATTGTCCATGCCCAAAAATGTATGTCCCATTTTTCATCTTAAGTTCATCATATCTCTTCCAGGAAATGGCTAGCATGCATTATCTTCAGGTCTCTATACTCATGGTTTGTCATTGCA